GATCGAAAACAGCGTAACAAATTTCGTGAGGCGGACGAAGGAGAACGTGTCTAAACCACCTTCGTCATCTTTCTTGGATGGTCTGAGATATCCCCGTGATACTTTCGCAGCGAGTACAGACTGTCTCATCTCAGACGAAGTCGGCATACTTCACTCGAAAGATGGTCTTCAGACAGCGGTTGCCAAATACTTCCAGTTTCCTTTCATCTTCCACGCGCAAAGCCCAGAATTCACACCCATAGGGGAGGACTGACCGGACGGATGTACGATACACATGTATCTTCATGACGATCGAGATGTCGCGTGGGATCTATTAGCACTTTCTGATAATTGAGAAAACCTGGCGAGATGTCTCGATTCCAGACACAATGTCTTCCTTAATGTGCCCATTCGACAGCAGCCTCGCCCCGAGCCGTCGACTTCTCCAGGTTGAGAGTCATTAATCTAGAAAGGTGCCTTCTCGTGGTCAGGGATGCAGCTGGAGAATATTTTAGTCTTCCCGGTATTTATGGACAAGCCAACTGACGCAGCGATCTCATCCACCCGTGAAACTACAGACTGTAAACCACCGAAGCTTAAGGCTATCAGGGAGATATCATCAGCGTAGTCGAGATCAGTAAGCTGGCGTTCGGATACAAGCTCGACACCATCCTCTTCGCGTAGGGCCTTCCCACGAATCCAGTCAATGGCGTAGTTGAATAGAATGAGCGACAGGACACAGGTTTGTCGAACACCAGACCGAATAGCGAACGATTCTGGAAGGTTTTTATGGGCCAGGACCCGCGCAGTGGAGGAACGGTAGCATGCCTTGATCATCGCGACGATTCTTGGTGATATACCGTCTAGCGGCCATGGTAACAACTGCGGCGCCTGTATTAAGGTTTTCTTCGTGCACAGGGCCGGCTTGTGCAACCTGATTGCAGTCGTTTTTGTAGCCGTAACAGAAGCTGTTCAAGTGTGTTTTGAGACCGTATAAATCACCCGGAAGGCCCCTCTATCTCTACGTGGTGATCTGTTTCTAGGCAGCGCAAGAGAATATAACTGTTTGCGTACTTTGTTTGGCCCTTCCGTAACCATGACTGAAAGCGACCGATTCAGCCGCCGGTATAGAACTACCTGTTCCGGTGGCCGCCAGTCAGAATACACTAGCCGCAATTTTCTTCTGCCCTTCCCTCCGTCCCTTCCTCAACAACAGCACAATAGCTTCTTGGAGAGAGAGCATATATATAAAGCAGAACTATACTCGCCAAATTCTCTTTTCAACAGGAATTTTCCTAAAATAACTGATAAAAACAGTAACCTACATCGTGAGGTTTAAATTCCTGGGGATAGACGGAGGAACTTGAGATGAGGATCGCGCGAGCCAACCAGCTAAAATTTGAAGAATTTCAATCAAAAAGGATACGATGATAAGAAGATAATGGTCAAGATCTAGGCACCAAGTGGCACTAAACATTTTTTTCTGAACTTACTGAGAAGCATTCGATTTCTCGCAACCTACCTTATCATAATTAACCATCAACCCAAGGCGACATATCCGCCTCCACTGTAGTAGCTGTCACAGAGGTAATGCAAGGTAGAAAGTGTCTCGTGTCACTAGCTTCAGTAACTAGAGAATTCATTCTTTATTGAATATAAGCCATTTCAGAGCTGATTGTCAAATCGATGAGCCCAATCAAAATACACTTGCCACATCATGCCAACTAGACACAATAAAAACCGGAATGTCCATGTATGATTGGCTAATCGGGACCAATTAGCCAGAAATGGCCATTCCAGTCTCCCTTGTACTTGTCGGTAATATACTGCTGCAAACATAATATCCTCAACGCCTTTTTGCAACGACAGCTCGATGGAACATTACGCACGACTGTCTATCGTAAGGATACGTATGTGGAAGTCACCCTAAACAATGGGAGCAATCATCCTATCTGCGATAGAGGGAGTACTGTTAACAGTCTGCTAAATCGTGCGAAAACGTATTGTTCGGTTAGAGAAGGCTATCAGATCAAACTTAAATGCCTGTTCGAAATATTTTACCAAAACGGTTACCCTTGAGAATTCGTACGTTGACAGCAAGAGTCCAAGAAAAAGGATTCAGGCAGTAGCAATCAGAAGCCCAAGCCATATACTTGGCGAAGCCTTCCTCACATCAAGAGCGTGTCTGGCAACGTTGACAGACACTTAAGGAAGCACAGCAAACTCGGGTGGCTCATATACCAACGTCCAGTTTGCGCACCCAACTAGTCAACCCCGAGGGCAGGGTTAATTAGTTGGGCAAGACGAATGTTGTTTACAAAATCCCGTGTGGTGCGTGGGATACCGTTTACTGTGGCGAGACTGTAAAATCTGCCTTTGCGCATTTTCACCGCCCCGAACCAAATATGCGAACACGCTTTCATCTTAGATCGCGACCGACAAAACAACCGGCAAGTGGCTGAATAATGGCTTGATACTGAATGTGAGACAGGCGTGAGACAGACATCATGGAAAGATTGCACAGATGCAGTATGCAATTCTGCACCCCCCTCAGCCTCTATATTCTTAAGAAAGAATGACTGGTTTGGTTTAACGGAGTGTTTACAGTTATGAGCTTTTTTATTCGATAGTGTCTGCGCGTTCTTTTACCATTACTTTTGGCGTGTACAAAGCGATCGATGTCTACTATAGTTCAACTGACCCAAATTTGAAAAATTCGGCGACCTCGGTGGTATTCGAACTCACGCCAGCAAGGCGTGGCGGACAGCTAGAATGCCTGCTTTCCCCCCTCCCCTTCGTTCTGCAATGTCCGCGGCCCTCAACGTCATTTGTCGTTGCACGCGGCTGTTCACACTTGCTGACCTGAAGACCACTTGACCGATATTCACTTACTCACACACCCGCGCATACACGCGCGTCCAAATAAGCACGCCTGCCTAAGAGCCACTCGAACACGACAAACCGCGGCCACGCAGCAAGGGGCCTTCGCAGGTGACATCCCCTCGGGCAACGTGCAATACAAAAATGACAGAGTACTTGG